TAAGTACTTTGTTCAACTTGCAGTTTTTCACTTATTGCGGGGAGAGGGGGGTGGCCCCTATACCCCGTGATAAACGAGAGACTACTGTAACTCCGTTTTACAGAAATTAAACTTAAATGTGCTATGGCAGTAGCTGAAAGTTGTCCCCAACTCATACTTTGAGTGCTTTAAAAATAACTCATGTTCTTTGTTCCAAACGTTCCCTCAGGTATTGAAGTCAACAATTACTATTAGCAAATTATATCATGAACCGCCAGACCGAGTTCAATGAAATTCTCTAAAAGTAATCATCATCAGTCATATTCAAGATGGCCACCTCAGCTATAATTCAGAACATTTTAAGGATATTTTGCTAAAACTTGATGTGGTAGTAGTTGAGAGTCATTCACAGGACTGAGCATTAACGTAACTCTTCTTTAAGGTTTGATCATACTGAAAATTAAAGGGAGCAACATTTCTTCTGGCAATTCTTTTGATTCTGTATTTTGTTTTTCCTCACATCCATTCTGGACACATATTAGAGAATCATGCCAGATTAAAACAAGATTTATGTCAAGTTCAATGGTGTCAAGATATAGAGCGCCCAACCTCGAATGTGCACGTAAACACACACGATGGGGCAGGAGAGAAGAACTCTTTATTTGCTTTTCCTCCTAATATCAAGAGGCAGCAGTTAGAAGAAGAGATAATGTAAAGGAGGAGGAGGAGGAGGGTACAGAGAGAAACCGAGCATTTCACTTAGAGAGAGAGAGGAGGGGAGGGGGAAAGGGGAGGGTGTGTGGGAGAGAAAGAAAAGAGACGGGGCGCGCATGTCCAGTTCTTCAATGCAGCCTGTTCTCCCAGCTCGCCAATCATTCCAGCGAGTTTCCCCCCTCACACACACATGCACACGCTTCTCCTCTCTCTCTCTCTCTCTCTCTCTCTCTCTCTCTCTCTCTCTCTCTTGCTCTCTCTCTCTTGCTCTCTCTCTCTCCGTCTTTTTTCCATGAGCACTGGACACACAGCGCTCTCTTGAGCGGGCACTGCAGGAGAAGAAACACAAACCCACCATGGATTAGGAATACTCTTTAAATTAAAAAAAAGGCTGGGGGAAATAATACCCTTTCTCATCTTTTATTTTTTTACCTTCTTCTGACACCTTCTTGTTTCTTGCGCATCTTCCCCTCTTTCTCCATGTCTCTCAACAGTTTCTGAAGGAACTAAAGGGAAAAAGGAAAGAGAAAACAAACAAACAATGAGGATTATTCTTTTTTCTTGGCACTTTCTTGGGGTGTATTCCGCCCTTTGGGGACTGGCAACAGGGGCTTTCCCCAGCTCAGTGCAGATAGGTGAGTGACTGATTTAACGCACGGGCACTCAGATCTGGCACTACACTAAATATGACCGGCATTTCAGTGAGCAGGAAACACTATAAGGGGAGTTAAAAAGCTCCAGATATAGAAAAACACAATAATATACTCAGAGATTATGGAACAGAGGAACACAGAACTATGTGCAATAGTACATTTTGTTTAATCCAGTATATTTAGCTTTGCTACAGGGACTGTATAACTCTGTGTCCTGTGTTTTAAAAGCTGTTCCGCTCTCATGAATGTTTCAGAGCGTTTTGTTCCTTTCTAGTCTTGTTCACTGTTTAGACACTGCAGTATTCTTCCTCTCTGTCGCTGCCCTCTCCCCCTCATCCCCCCCAGTGTTAGAGTCGTATACCTCTCCCAAGTCTTCCTAAAAGATCAGGGTTAACTAAAAGTTAACTCGAAACTAACCCATCGGTCTGCTCAGTGACTGCACTCGTGCATGGAATCAAAATGTTCTCTGTCTCTCTCTCTCTCCAAAGGTGCACATGCACTGCATCAGTACTTGCGTTTGTGTGTAGGATGAGGATTTTGGGGGTGGGGGGTGGGGTGGGGGGGCAGCTGGGAGGTCCTATAATGAGATTTACCTCCTTGACTCTGTCTCTTCGCATCTGCCAATAAACTTAATGTGTTAAATTTTCTCATAGTTGCTCTGCACACATGCCTGCACTGCCTTTTCTCTTCTTCCAAGTGTGCATTGTGCTCATGCATTTGTAAAAAGATGAAATTATTTACAGATATCCTGCAAGGTCTAAGCTGGCATATGCATCCAAACTGAATGTGATGCTGCAAAATAACCTTTTTTTTTTCTTTCCTCCCCTGCAACTAACAAACTAAATGCACACCGATACATACGTGATCGTTCCTGCTGCTCCTCGGTCCTCCACCTTATCCAGGGAGTCACCTGCACTTAGCTGTTACATCAGCTGAAGCAGTTTCACTAACGTTAACGTGTTAACGTGCATCAGAGCTAAAATAATGTATTATGATGGGACACATCTGCATCCTTCATCTAAATGACCTGGGTGGGTTTGCATGAATGTAAATGTGTGTTCTATCAGGGTACACTAAAAGACTCACACTATGCCTGTCCAGTAATGATTACAATAAGTGTTAAACAAAATCATTTTGTATTGTTTCTTATTTTTATTTTATTCATTTTCTGTTTGTTTGGATGCTCTGATATAAACACTATTATTTTTACTGGGAACTAGATGATAGCAAAAACTTGTTCTGGCGTGTAAATTTTATAAGATGCTTCACTAAATTCGTTCTTCACTCTTCTTCTTCTCTCTCTCCCACAGCGAGCACCACTCCATGTGTTAGCTAAATCTGTAAACTGACTCAGTCATAACGATTCTTGTGTTTGCTATGAGCAGTTGATCTTAATAGGGATGACTCTAGAGGTGAATCCGTTGTAAATCGTCATCGAATGATTACTTTGTGAGGGATGGTTTCAAATCTGCCCACTGGTTCAAAGGTTATTTTGCTAACACAAAAGACAAAGCAACGGACGCGCGTGCACTCAGACACAGTGTTGCCCTTTCACTTTCCGCTGTGAAAAATACTGAAAAAACAATAGTCGAAAACGAAAAAATAAAACAAATCGCACGCCTGAAAGGTGAAAAACAAAGTAACACAATTACATTTCTGTTAGTGAAACTTTTACAGTTCCTTTCAGATTCATGAAAAGAGGGTGACGTGTCTGCAGGCCGGTGGGTTTTGTGGACGTTTATCAGGATTTTGAAACAAACCTGGTGTCCTAACTGTAAGTGTGATATAATAAAACACTTTTATTTTTTATTTTATTCTCACATATGTGGGAGAGTGGTGGCACAGAGGCTAGAGAAGGAGAGCCCATGAATGCAATGTCGCTGGTTCGACACCCCAGACTGACAACATCAAAAATGTGTGTGGGATAAGTGAAGTGCCCACACTGATTGTCTCCACCTCCACCTGTCTCCACCTTCGCTTGCCCCACTCTGAGCCCTTGAGCAAGGCCCTTAACCCCCACAGTCTTCTCCCCTGGGTGCCCTAGACAGCAGCTCTTTGCTCCACACAGAGGGCTGTGGTAGCTCAGTGGTATGTGGTTGTGTCAGGAAGAACATCTGGCGTAAAAACAATCGCCAAGTCTTCGTGTGAGTTACTTCACTGTGGGAACCCCTGAGAAAAGGAGCAGCTGA